TTAGGGTTTATAGGGCTTAGGGTTGGGGGTTTGGTTGGGGGTTGGGGGTATAGCGGTTCAGGGGTTTAGTCAGTTTTACGGGTTTTGGCTCAGGGGTTTAGTCAGGTTTACGGGTTATGGGTTTACGGGTTTAGGGTTTGGGGGTTTACGAGTTTAGGGTTTACGGGTTTAGGATTTAGGGGTTTAGGGTTTAGGGTTTGCGGATTTAGGGTTTAGGCGTTTGGGGTTTGGGGTTTCGGGCTTCCTCAAACCTGGATTCCGTTCTAAAGTATTAGGTAGAGGGCGTTCACAAGTACACAAGACTGCATGGGGATGTTACTGACCCTAAACCCTAAACCCTAAACCCTAAATCCTAGGTCCTAAACCCTAAACCCTAAACCCTAAACCCTAAACCCTAAACCCTAAACCCTAAACCCTAAACCCTAAACCCTAAACGATTCCGAGCCGAGCCCCATATAACGGACCTTCACGCCCTTCCAGTTTGAGATCTCCCTCTTCAGACCCTAAACCCTCAACCCTAAACCCAAGTGTACCCTTAGAAGACAGGGGTTCAGCCCCAAACCCCCGAACCCTCGAAACCGCAACCCTACGCCCTGAAGCCCTAAACCCAAAACCCGAAAAAAAAAAGAAAAGAGGCTACTGCACTTCAAACAAAAAAAACCCTATGGACCCCGAACCCTGTTCGAGCTTCAGGACTCATGTTTACGTGGTCCCGTCGCTTGCTCCCATCGGAAGGGCACCTCCAATCCTATAAGCCAGAGACTGTGTAAGCTTCGGGCAGCAGCCGCAGGCAGTGCGCCGCCGTGAGCGGCAGATGAAGGAGCTGAGCAGTGGTTTTTGGGTTGACTATCTTGGTTTAGAGTTTAGGGTTTAAGGTTTAGGGTTTAGGGTTGAAGGATTTCGGCTTTAACGGCGTCGGGTTTGGGGCTACGCTGCGTAGACTTAGGCTCTCCTAGAGTATTTCATGTTGTGGCATGCCTGCCGTACCGGTATATACTTTGGTATGCTAGCCTATTGCATTATTCTAGGTGTCGCTATGACATATAACGCAATCGTTGCTACAGCCGATGCTTGTCATTATGTATTCCTGTGGTCCCCCCAACTTTGCAAACTGCACCTTATCCATAGAATAAGTTGGGTGGTGCTGTTGGAGTCAAGGCCTCGTGATTCCTACGCATTTGACCCTGACTTTGGCAGTTGTGGCAGTTGCTGTTAGGATTGCAACATGCGGGAACACTCGGTATCTGTTCGAGTGTTTTTTTGGACCGGTATTCGTGGTCCCTCATGGTCCCTAAGTAGTTCTACTATAGTTATCCCAAATCCCTATATCCTAATGATGGGGGCCCTTGCAGAAGGAGTTTAAGGTGTCTAGCCATGGGGTTGGTTGGTTCAGGCCTCGGTAAATTCGACGGGAGTTGTGAAGATAGCTGTGCTGCGGACCATAAGGGGCGGAGGTGTGGAGCGTTGATGCCTCAAGAATTGGAAAGCCCTAAACCCTAAACCCCAAACCCTCTGGAGTTTGCGGCTTGGGGTTTAGGGCTTAGACTAGAGGTCTTTCTCAAGAAAGCCGCATCAGGAGCTATTCTTGACGCATCTCAAGGACATTTGTGGTGCCTCGTCAGCAGGTGTTTGGCTTTGCAGTCTGCCCTTAAAACCTAAACCCGAACCCTAAACCCTCAACCC